TCACTTGAAAACACTTGGAGTTTTGATTTTGGTTTTTTTAAAGTCTCAATAAAATCTTGCACATGCATTCCTCATTGTCTTTGGTCCCACTTTATGTGGATTCACTTCAGTGGATTTATCAGGACTAAATATTATTGGAAAATAAGGGCCTTTGTACTCAGTTCAGGAGTCACTGGTCAGTTCCCGACTGGCACAGACCCACTGTAAGGGTAGATGCCATATTGCACGCAGGAAGTGAGGGAGAGAGCCCAGATACAGTGAATGCAGGGAGCTCCTTAAGGCTAGGGACAGGGCCTTCTTCACACCTTATCTCTTAAGCCTCCCAGGAGCCTGGCACCATGGAGAGCGCAAGATGCCTGTTTAATGACTGAATATGTGAGATTGGACAGGTTTCTTGGGATAGTTCGACTACTGGGTTAGAATAGGCAAGGAGAGAGAGTGGGTGTTTGGAACAAGTTGTGGGATGGTTATCTGGGTGGGACTGGGATTTGGGGGTGGAATGGGTGATGAGAATTGGGGTGGGGACTGGAGCGTGTTGGAGTGGAATGGAGTGGAATAGAGACAGGATACAAGTAGGCTGAAGTGGAGTGGGGCTGTCATCTCTCTCCCCTTTCTCTTCCTCTGCGCATTCAGGGATCTGCCGCCCTGCCGCTGCTCCAAGGACACGATCCCCTTCTCTACACCGCGGTCCAGCCCATCACAATGGTGCGCCAAGGCTCTCAGCAACCACTGCATGTGCCCCGCAGGCCGCCGGTACGAGTCGCCTGCTGTGCCCACCATGCCAGTCTCCTCGTGCCCAGGCCGCCGGGCTCCATCTCTGCCTCATGTCTCTCCTCCAGTCCCTCTGCCCCACCACTTCCAGGGGCGGCCCCAGAGTTTCTTTAAAGGAGGGGCACGGTGAAGTACTACTGTGCCCGTTAGAAATCTAGGTGTTAAGAGGCCTTGGAGCCCTAGCTGAGCGGTTAGAGCCTCTGTCGGAGGTCCAGGGATTTCTAGGGAACCCAGGGTTCCGTTCCAGCTAAGGGCACCTACCTCAGTTGCAGTTTGTCCCCGGCCCAGTGGGGTCATGTGGTTGGCAACCAGTCCATGTGTCTCTTACGTCGATGTTTCTCTCTCTCTCTTCCTCCCTCTCTGCCTTCCGCTCTGTCTGAAGAAATGCAAAAAGAAATGCAAAAATGTCCTCCTAGGGTGAGCATAAAAAAAAGAAAGAAAAAAGAGCCCTTGGAGCCCTGGCCAGTTTGGCTCAGCGGTTGGAGCATCAGCTCCCAGACCTCTATTGCAGTTCAGTCCGCCTCCTGTGGGAGGCAACCAGTGGATGTACATGGATGTTTCTCTCTCTCTCTCACACACAATCCTTTCACTCTATCTGAAGATAAATGAAATGAGGATTTTAAAAAGAAGAATCCTTGCAGCTACCTTTGCTCTCTTGGAACCCTGCCCTGAAAATGCTATGAGGGAGACAGTTCAGCCTGTTCAGCCTAGGGAGGATCAGGGGCCCCCTGGAGGTTAAATGAGGTACCCCAGCTAATAGCACATTTGAGTAATGCCATTTTGGGTCTTTAAGCCCTGTTAACTCTCCAGATGAGAACAGCCCAGTGAGTGAACCCAGGCAACACCAGTGAAGAACCATCCAGATGATCCATAAAATTTTCTATTTACCCATAAGTTTTTGTATGGCTTGTTAGACAGCAGTAGACAACTGAAACAGATGTCCCCTTCCATTTGACCTTGCCAGTCCTAAAGCCATCTTTGCTAAGGTGAGGTTATGGATCCATCTCCTACACCTGAGAACCAGGTGGTACACCTTTGCCTTTATTCTGTCCCATGATGCCCTGGCTCTTGACCTGGACACCACCTCTCTCAGGTCAGTGGTTCCAAATTTTAGCTGGCTATGTAATAAAATCTTAGAGGTAATTGTAAAACATATGAGTTCTGTACCAGTTTATGTATTATTATGCAATGAATTCATCCCCAAACTTACTAGCTAAAAACAACAATAATTTTCTTTAGTCATAATTTTACAAATTGGGGAGGGCTCGATTAAGACAGCTGGTTTCTGCTATACACAGTGTCAGCTGGACTGGCTTAAAGACTGGGAGCTGAAATCATTTGAAGTCTGTACTCTTGCCATGTCTGTAGGTTGAGGCTGGAAGTCAGCTGGGAACAGCTGGGGTTGTTGGCCAGAACATCTACATGTGTCTTCTCCATGTGGCTATTGTGCTTCCTCACAACATGGTGGCTGGATTTTGTAGGATGAATGCCCCAAGAGAACAAAGCAAAATCAGAGCAGGTCTTCAAATGTTGTTTTGTTCAATGTCATTTCATTATAATGTCAATGAGATGGCATAGGGCCCTGGCCGGTTTTTCTCAGTGGTTAGAGCATCAGCCTGTGGTCCAGAGATGCCATAGGAACTTAACTCTTGTTTATATCAATTAGCCTTTGATAAAATTGTTTTTGTTATATGTCCTTTCACTTAAAAGTCACAGAACCTATTGATGATGTTAAGTGAGGACTTACTGTATGTGGTAGTTGTATGACCTGGTCTTTGAAGTCACATAGTGCCACTTTCACCATACTCTATCGATTGAGGTGATTACAACGTCTGTCTGGGTTCAAGGAGATAAGACTATATCCACCATTCGATAGAAGGAATGTCGACATCACACTGTAAGAACATGTGGGAGGAAATATATTGAAGTGGCTGTCTTTGGAAAATGCAATCTGTTACTAGTTTCTAAGCGTCATCCCTGGATAATCAATTCCTCAGATCTGGAGTAAAGACTCAGAATTAAAGTTAAGAAATGTTCCTGGATGATTCTGAAGCACATCCAGGACCTGGCCTCTCAATCCTGAGCTCAGGGCTGTCATAACAGGAGATTCTAGAGAGACTGGAGTCTATGGAGGAAAACCAGCCTCAGGCCAGTAGGTGAGACCTGAATAGCAGAAGGCCAGCTGTCTGTCCAAGGTATTAGTGACCTGCCCTTGTTAATTAGCCTTTTGGGAGCTGCTATATCCTAGTATCCCTTTTTCTCTACAATCCTCTGTGCATCTCTTTACACATTCTGGTTTATAAATGGTAATATTCAGGCTGCTGGTTATACCTTAGAGTATGGCATTCAGTGATGAGAGTTAAAAGTCCTAGTTGTTTTTAGGTTGGTTGAACCTGAGGAATATTGGAGGGCCCCAGTCAGTGAGCAATATTCTGGAAGGAGCTATTTCCAGCCCCTGGGAGTGATCTAGGGAGGTGAGCACTGGGAGGCGGGGTCCTGGGTTCCACTTAGAGCTCTGCCACAGTTTTGCTCTTTGACTGTGGGTAGGTCACATCTCAGCTCAAAGCCTCAGTTTTCCCAACAATTAAGTGTGTGTGAAATGTCAGTACTCATTATTTCAAACAAACTACTGATGAGTGGAGCTATTCTCTGACCAGAAAACCTAATGTGACTCCCTATTGTCCACAGTCTTAGTGCCCTGCCTGCCCTCCATGGCTATGTACCAGAGGCCCTGTCCACCACTCCAGCCTCATTATCCCTCGCCTGAACTTACCATGTTTCCACCCCTCTGGGCCTTTGCATGTGTTCTTCCCTCTGCCTGGAACGCCTTCTCTTGCTTTCACTATCTGGCAAACCCCAAAGTTTGGCTTCTGTCTCCTTCTTCGTGAAGCCTACCCCTGACCCTTCCTCCCAGTCACCTCTGCCACGTATCCCTCTGCCTATTCCCTTTGACATTCTGTGGCCTTATACAAAGGGAGCAGATGCCAGGGTTCTCTCAAGGGGGGAAATGAGGGTGGGGTGGGGGTGATTTTACAGCTGAGCCCAGGCTCTGGAGTCAGACAGTCTGAATTTCAAGACTGCCACACACTCCCTGTGTGACCTCAGGTAAATCGCTACACCTCTCTAAGCCTCAGTTTCCTCCTGCTTGGTTTGGGCTCACAATCACTAACAGAATTTTTATGACATCATAAAGACATCAGCCACAGAAGCAAAGTCTATGTGAGAGAGGTTTGGAATGGGCTGGGGGTGTCTGAGTTTGCAGCGCCCTTTGGTTCCTTTGCCTTTATCCTGTACAGTAAGTAAGGGTCAGGTGTATTATAGGTGCTCATGTTCAGGGTGGACTTTTTTAAAGACTGAATGAGTGAGTGAATGAATGATTCAACTGGTTTGCGAATTTGGATACACCTATTTGCCAGACTCTGTACATGGAGTCTGAGACCAGTGGCTGAAGCAGGAAGTCCCACCCCCTCCCTACTCCACCCCCCTTTATTCACTAGGTCTCCTAGCAACTGTCAAACAGTGGACCTATGGTCCTGCTGGCCTTCCCCGCCAGGAGGCTGCGCTGAACTGAAAGACACCTGGGCCCAAGCGTGGGCTACTGTCCACGCATCCGCTCCCAGGTACCGTGGGAGCCTTGAGGGAACCATGTTTCCCACCTGCCTCCACACCCCATCCCACGCTTCATCCTTTCCTTAGCTTTAGCCCAGGGTCATCGTCCCAGTGTTTTGACCCCACACTCAATGTCCATTGTGTCATGCCTCAGGGTTCTCGCCCTCACCAGGCATCGGCACATGCTGTCCCAGGCCCTGTTTGCCGCCCTGGCCTCCGGGAGTGGAAGCACTAGGATTCTGCTCCCACCCCTTGTGGTTCCTGGGGAACTGCACTCCCTTGATGGAGGCATTCCAAAGTGCCAAATTACTGCAGCTGGGGCTGGGGGGAGGGCAGAGACTCAAGTTGGAGAAGCTGATGTTGCTCATTATCAGAATTACTGCCAGGACCATTCTCTGGTTCATCCATTCATTCTCTAACTTTATTGAGTGCCTACTGTATGCCAGGCAGTGTCTGAGGCCTTGGCCATTTAACTGGAACAGGACCAGGGAAGGGAGGAGGGACAATGGTGTTTGTTCCTGAAAGAGGCCAGGCTGACTTCCTGAGAGCAGAGGGTAGTGACTAAAGTGCCTTTATTGTCTTCCAGCCAGGAGTGCTGGGCAAGGTGGGAGTTCTGCAACATGTCACTGCATGCCTGGGACTGGGAGGATGAGGACATGGGGAGCATGGGGCCCATGTCCTCCATGGGCAGCTTTTGCCCTTCCATGAGCGAGTGTGAAGTGGAGGAGTACCTGAATGCCAGCGGCCAGGCCCAGGATTCAGATTCTGACCACCTGTATAGCAGCATGGAGTCCTTAGATGGGCGTGCCAACACTTTCAACTCTGACGTGCCCCAGGTTGTCCCCTGCAAATTCACCATCTCACTGGCCTTCCCATCAAATGTTGGTAAGTGCTAGGGCAGTATACCAACATTCTCTACAAAAAAAGGGGTGGGCTAATGAATGACCTTCTTTCAGGAGTTTAAGACACATGCCTCCACCCCTTGCTTTCCCAAGCAGGGTGGTGGATTCCTGGAGCAAAGATCAGGAAATAAACTGCTGTTTTAGGGGGCCCACTGTGGGCCAGGCAAGTGGTTGTGTGGTCTTCACATACTTAATCTTTTCAATAACCCTAAGGAGTAGGTGGTGGTGGTTCTGCTTTTTGCAGGTGAAGAAATGACAGAGAGGTTAGGCCTTGGTTCCCATAAGCTAATTGTACATCACCTGCTTTCCTTATTGAAAATACAGATTCTCAGGTGTATTGAATCTCTGAGTGTAAAGGCATATCGATTAGCTGTTACTGCAACAATGCTGTATAACAAACCCAAACCAGCTCCCCAATTCATTGGCTTCAAACAGAAATCCTTTGTTCTGTTGGATGAGCAGGTTGGCTACTCCAGCCTGGGCTCCCTGCAGTGGTTCAGCTCTGCTTCATGTGTCTGTCATCCTCTGGGACATGGGGGCTAATCCAGACATCTTCCTATTATGGAAAAGCAGAGGCACAGCAGAGGGCAAGCCCAGTCACCCAAGTCTTTTGGCACTTCCGACCTGTTAACATTAGATTGGCCAAAGCAAGTCTATGGTTGAAACCCAAGATTAGGTGCAGAAAAAAGTACTCCACTTTTATATACCTTTTTTGTCTACTTAAACTATTCCACCACCACCACCATGATGATTAATTTCAGCTTCTCCTTATATCTATATTAACTGTTGCTTCAGATGTATACCATGTTTAGAATTGATCAATCTTCTTGCTGAATTGAGCTTTTTGTCCTGTGGTGACCTCCTCTATCCATAATGATGCTTTTTATATTGGGTCTATTGATGTCAAGCAAAAGAGCCTGGATAAAGGTTTCTGGCAAATACCAACTTTTAAAAAATTGGTGCTCACTTGATCACCTTAACCCTCACATTTCCTATAGCATCTCCTAGACTTGTTTTTCTTATTTTGGTGCTTCCTCTAAAGGCATTTACAAAACAGATCTCTGTGCAGCAAATGTATGAGGTCTTGCATATCTGAGAGTCTTATTTATTCATTTACTTTCCAATTATTCTTGATGTGCAATATTACATTAGTTTCAAGTATAGAACATAGTGATTAGACATTTATATTCCTTACAAAGTGATCACCCCCAATAAGTAGAGCACCCATCCGACACCATACATAGTTATTACAATGTTATTGACTATATTTCTTATGTTTTACAACCCCATGACTATTTTTATAACTTCAATTTGTACTTCTCAATTCCTTTTACTTTTTTCCCCCTCCCTTCAACCCCCTCCTATCTGGTGACCATCACTTTGTTCTCTATATCTAGGAGTTTATGTCTGCTTTGTTTGTTCATTTATTTTGTTTTTTAGAGGCTTTCTTTGATTCCAATACCTTTAAAAGATATGTCTTTGGCTGGATATAAATGTGTAGGTTCAATTTGTTTTCCTTCAATATCTGAGGATGTATGGTTTGTTCATAAATATTTATTTATACAAATTGTTTTCTAACAGAAATGAAATTTTACACATTCTATTCTAAAACTTTCTCTTTTTCTAATTTTTAATTTTTGTATTAATTTATTTCTGTTAGAGATGTTTCTCCTTTTTTCCCCATTGACACCCTCCTCCTGATCCCCTTACCCCACCCTGTCCCCAGCTTTGTTGTCTATGTCCATGGTTACACATACATGCATTATAAGTTCTGTGGTTTATCTCTTTTCTCCTCCAACCCCCTCTTCTGAGGTTTGTCAGTTTGTACCCTACTTCTATGTCTCTGGGTCTATTTTGTTGATCAACTTGTTTTGTTCATTATATTCCACAAATAAGTGAGATCATGTGATATTTGTCTTTCTTTGATTGGCTTATTTCGCTTAAGATAATACTCTCCAGGTCTCTCCATGTCATCTCAAAGAATAAGAGATCTTTCTTTCTTACAGCTGCATAATATTCCATTGTGTATATATACCACCGCTTTTTTATCCACTCATCTATTGATGGACACTTGGACTGTTTCCAGATCTTAGCGATTGGAAATAGTGCTGCTATGAACATAGGGGTACATACATTTTTCTGATTGGTGTTTTTTCAGGGGTCTTAGGGCATATTCCTAGAAGTGAGATCACAGGGTCAAATGGCAGTTCAATTTTTAACTTTTTGAGGTAACACCATATTGTTTTTCATAGTGGCTGCAGAGGTCTGCATTCCCACCAGCAGTGTACAAGAGTCCCCTTTTCTCCACACCCTCACCAGCACTTGTTTGATGATTTGTTGATGGCAGCCATTCTGACTGGTGTGAGGTGATGCCTCATTGTTCTTTTAATTTACATCTCTCTGATGATTAGTGACAATTGAGCATTTTTTTGTGTGTTTCTTGCCCATTTGTATGTCCTTTTAAGAGAGGTGTCCCAGGTCCTCTGCACATTTTTTAATTGGATTCTTTGTCTTCCTTTTGTTGAGTTGTATGAGTACTCTATATATTTTGGAAATCCCTTATCTGATGTATCATTGGCAATTATGCTCTCCCATATAATGGGTTTTCTTTCCAATTTGATGTTTTTTTCTTTTGCTGTGCAGAAGCTTTTGCGTTTGATGTAGTCCCATGTGTTCATTTTTTCCTTTGTTTTTGTTGCCCTAGGTGATGTATGAGTGAAAATTCTGATGTGTATAATGTCTGAAATTTTGTTGCCTATATTTTCTTCTAGAATTTTTATGGATTCATGTGTCACATTTAAGTTTTTTCTCCATTTTGAGTTTATTCTTGTGTATGGTGTAAGTTAGTGGTCTAGCTTCTTTTTTTTTTTGCCTGTAGCTGTCCAATTTTCCCAACATCATTTATTGAAGAGGCTGTCTTTATTCCACAGTATGCTCTTGCCACCTTTGTCAAATATTAATTGAGCATAATATCTTGGGTCTATTTCTGGGTTCTCTGTTCTGTTCCACTGGTCTACATGCCTGATTTTGTGCCAGTACCAGGCTGTTTTGATTACAGTGGCTTGTAGTATAACCTGATATCTGGTATAGGGATCCCTCCTACTTTCTTCTTCTTCTTCAAGATTGCTGTGGCTATTCAGGATCTTCTTTGGTTGCATATGAACTTTTGGAGTATTTGTTCTAGTTCTGTAAAGTATATCATTGGTATTTTTATGGGAATTGCATTGAATTTGTAGATTGCTTTGGGTAGTATGGACATTTTAATGATGTTAATTCTTCCAATCCATGAACAAGGTATATATGCTTCCACTTTTTTATGTGACCTGTACTTTTTTCAATGACCTGTACTTTTCTGCAAAAAAAATTCCTTTACTTCTTTGGCTAGGTTTATTCCTGGGTATCTTAATTTTTTTGCCAGAATGGTAAATGGGGTTGCTTTTTGAGTTTCTCTTTCTGTGAGTTCATTTTTGGTGTATAAGAATGCTGTCAACTGTGGGACGTATACACAATGGAGTACTATGCAGCTGTAAGAAAAAAAGATCTCTTAATCTTTGAGATGACATGGAGGGATCTGGAAAGTATTATTCTAAGTGAAACAAGCCAATAAGAGAAAGACAAATATCACATGATCTCTTATTTCTGGAAAATAATGAACTAAGCAAACTGATGGACAAAATAGACCCAGAGACATAAAAGTAGGGTACAGATTGACATTCCTCAGAAGTGTGGGGGGTGGGGATAAACCACTGAACTTATATACATGTATGCATAACTGACAGACATAGATAATGGGGCAATGGGGTAAGGGGGGTATAGGGAGGAGGGAGTCAATGAGGGGAAAAGGAGAAACATCTGTAACAAAAATAAATTAATAAAAAAAAAAGAATGCTGTCAATTTCTTAACATTAATTTTGTATCCCGCTACCTTGCCGAATTCATTTATTAAATCTATTGCATTTTTAATGGAGTCCTTAGGGTTTTCTATGTACAATATTATATCATCTGCAAATAATGACATTTTCACTTCTTCTTTTCAGTTTGGATCCCTTTTATTCTTTCTTTATGTCTAATTTCTATGGTTAAGACTTCTAGTACTATATTAAATAAGAATGGTGAAAGTGGGCATCCCTGTCTTGTTCCTGTTCTTAAGGGAAATAATTTTAGTTTTTACCCATTGAGTATGATGTTGGCTGTAGGTTTTTCACATATGGCTTTTATTATGTCAAGATATGATCCCTTTATTCCCACATTGCTGAGCATTTTTATCAGAAATGGGTGCTGGATTTTGTCAAATGCTTTTTCAGTATCTATTGATAAAATCATATTGTTTTTATCTTTCATTTTGTTTATGTGGTGTATCACATTTATTGATTTGTGAATATTGTACCATCCTTGCATTCTTGGGATGTATCCCACTTGGTCATGATTAATAATTTTTTTGATGTATTGCTAGATCCAATTTACTAATATTTTGTTAAGGATTTTGGCATCTATGTTCATCAGGGATATTAGCCTGTAGTTTTCTTTCTTTGTAATGTCTTTATCTGGTTTTGGAACTAGGATTATGCTGGTCTCATAAAATGAGTTTGGAAGTCTTCCATCTCCTTGAATTTTTTGGAATAGTTTGATGAGAATGGGTGTTAGATCTTCTTTGAATAAAAACAAAAGCTTGGGCTTTAGTTTTCGGGGAGTTTCTTGATTACATCTTCAATTTCCTTAGTTGTTATTGACCTGTTCCAATTTTCTATTTCTTCCCAGTTATTTTTGAGAAACTGTGTGTTACTAGAAATCTGTCCATTTTACCTAAATTGTCCAATTTGTTGGCATATAATTGTTCATAGTATGTTTTAATGATCCTTTGTATTTCTGTGGTGTCAGTTGTTACTTCTCCTATTTCATTTCTTATTTTGTTTATTTGGGTCCTCTCTTTTTGTTTCTTGGTGAGTCTGGCTAAGGGTCTATCAATGTTGTTTATCTTTTCTTTTCTTTTTTTATCCTCACCCAAGGACATTTTTTTTTTTCAGTATTTTGTTCAGATAGAGTGGGAGAGAGAGAGAGAAACATCAACGTGAAAGGGACACATTGAGTGGTTTCCACCCACATGACCCAACCAGGGCTGGGGACAAACCACAACCGAAGTACGTGCCCTTAGCGGGAACCAAACCCGAGACTCTCTGGTCCGAGGGCCGATGCTCTAATCACTAAGCCAAACCGGTCAGGGCTGTTGTTTATCTTTTCAAAGAACCAGCTTTTTGTTTCATTGATGTTTTGAATTTTTTTTTTTTAGTTTCTATGTTGTTTATTTTTACTCTGACCTTCACTATTTTTTTCCTTCTGCTTGCTCTGGGTCTTTCTTTTTGTTTACATTCTGGTTCTTTAAGTTGTAGGGTTAGAGAGTCAATTAGGAAATTTTCTTTTTTCTTGAGGTAGGCCTGTAGTGCTATGAACTTCCCTCTCAGGACTGCTTTCACCGTGTCCCATAGATTGTGTTGTTGGGTGTTCATTTTCATTGGTTTCCAGGAAGTTTTAATTTCTTCCTTAATTTCCTTAGTAACCTATTTGTTGTTTAATAACATGTGATTTAGCCTATGTGTTTGAATGTTTTTGTTGTAATTGATGTCTAGTTCCATGTCATTGTGATCTGAAAAGATGCTTGGTATGATTTCAATCTTCTTGAATTTTAGAGACTTAGTTTGTGTCCTAACATGTTGTCTATATTCAAGAATGTCCCATATGCATTTGAGAAGAATGTATATTCTGCAGCTTTGGGGTGAAATGTTCTGTCAATATCAATAAAGTCCAGCTGATCTAGTTCATCATTTAAGGACTCTGTGTCATTGTTAATTTTTGTCTAGAAGATCTATCCAGTGGTGTCAGTGGGGTGTTAACGTCACCCACTATAATTGTATTGGTATTGATCATTCTCTTGAAGTCCTCCAGAACTTTCAAAATATATTTTGGTGCTCCTGTATTTGGTGCGTATATGTTTACCAAGGTTATATCCTTTAATAAGAAAAAGCTAAAGGAATTTATCACCACCTAACCATCTTTGATTGATTCCTTTAATATTATGTAGTAACCTTCTTTGTCTCTTATTGTGACCCTCATTTTGAAGTCTGTCTTATCCTATATGAGTATTGCTATACCACTTTTTTTTTTTTTTTTTTAATTTCCATTTGCTTGGAAATTTTTTTTTCCATTCCTTCACTTTTATCCTGTGTGAGTCTTTTGTTGTAAGGTGAGTCTCTTGTAGACAGCATATATATGGGTCATGTTTTCTTATCCAATCACCTACCCTATGTCTTTTGATTGGAGCATTTAAGCCATTTACATTTAAGGTTATTATTGATAGATATTTATTAGTTGCCATTTTTATTTTATGCCTGTGTTCCTCTTTTTCTGTTTCTTCTCCTTTTTACAACAGTCCCTTTAGCATTTCTTGCAGTGCTGGTTAGGTGGTGATAAATTCCTTTAGCTTTTTCTTATCTGTGCAGCTCTTTATTTCTTCTTCAATTTTGAATGATAGCCTTGCTGCATAGAGTAGTCTTGGATTCAGACCCTTGCCTTTCATTACTTTGTACACTTCATACCACTCCCTTCTGGCCTGCAGTGTGTCTATTGAGAAATCAGCTGACAGTCTAATGGGAGCTTCCTTATAGGTAACTTTCTGTCTCTCTCTTGCTTCCTTTAAGATTCTTTCTTTGCCTTTAATGTTTGCCATTTTTATTATGATGTGTCTAGCTGTGGATCTTTGGGGGGTCATCTTGCTTTGGACTCCCTGTGTTTCCTGGACTTGTGTGACTTTTTTCTTCACCAATTTAGGGAAGTTTTCTTTGTCTCACCATTTACTAGTCTGGTAGTTCTAGGCACAGTGAGCGATGTTAGAATATGTAGACAGGTCAGTGTGTATCACATAAGGCTGATGCGCCTCTCAGACTGTTTTGGTTGTGGTGCCTGTTGCTTGCTGTGGGTCCTAGAGAATTGACAACTGGTGGCTAGTATTGGTCTGTCATGTTAGGTGCTCTTTGGGTGCATTGGTCTAGCTGGTGCACTTCTGGGGTGCGTGGGTCACACTTGTGTGCTTCTGGGATGTACTGCTGCCTGGTGGGGCTCAGCTCCTGATCAGTTCTCAGCTCCCAATCCTCTGCTGCTGTTGGGGGCTGCGGATGCTCTGCTCCTGGGACTTTGCTGCTGCCAGGAGAAGGGCTCCACTCCAAATCCACTGCTGCAGTTGTCAGAGGCAGGTTTCAGCTGCCTGAGTCTTGCTGCTGCTTGGGCTGGGGCACCGCTCCTGATCAGCCTCTGCTGATGCTGCTGGGGATGGGTCTCAGTTGATGATCTGTACTGCTGCTGCCTGGGGATGGCTGTCCTCTCCAGAGCTCCTGCTGCTGGGGGTGTGTCTCAGATCCCAAGCCTCAGCTGCTGTTGGGGGTGGGGCTCCACTCCCACCCAGTCACTGCTGCTGTGGGGGAAGGTGCTGGGCTCCATTCAGGCTGCTGCTGCGGGAGAATGGTGCTCAGCTCCTGGCCGGTTGCAGTTACTGCAGAGGCATCTCGATGGCCCCACTACTGTGCACTGGACCACATTGACACAGTGGGGTCCACTGGTCTGATGGTGCTGGTGGACTCAGGTTGCTCGGCCCTACATGCTCCCGGTTGCCTCCTCCCAGAGAAGATTAGAGACCTTCCAAAATGGTGGGGCCTCTGGCCATGGAAGTACCCTGACAAGCTACTTATCACAGTAGCCAGCTTCTCCCATCCACAGCACATGAACCCTCTGCCCCACGTTTCTGCACTGCTCAAGGTTGCTCGGCCACACTCACATCCACTCAACTCTCTCTCACTCGCTCACACTCTCACATACTCACCCTTGCTCTGGTCCTGCCCACCGCCATCTTCTCTCCCAGATCACTAAGCACTTCTCTTTTTTTCTTTATTGTTGAGAGTACTACAGGTGTCCCCCACCCCCATTTTTTCTTCCATTGCCCCCTTCTCCAGGTTCCTGCCCTGCCCCAGGCCTTCACCACCCTATTGTCTGTGTCCATGGGCTACGCATATATGCATATAAATTCTTCAGTTAATCTCTTCCTGCTCCCCACCCTCCTCCTCTCTGAGATTCCTCAGTCTGTTCCATGTTTCCATGCCTCTGGCCCTATTTTATTCATCAGATTATTTTGTTCATTAGATTCTACCTATAAATGAGATCATGTGATACTTGTCATTTTCTAACTGGCTTATTTCACTTAGCCTAATACACTTCAGGTCCCTTCTTGCTGTTTCAAAGGGTAAGAAAATTTGACAATATCTTAGATGTTTTAGAGAAAAAAAAGCATATTTGTTTTTATTTTGCTGATGTTTTGTTTGAAACATCTATATAGCTTTTAATTTACCCTACCTCATATTGGTGGACATTTAAGTTGTTTCCAAAATTTTCTGTTACAATTCTGTAATCGTTCTCCTTGTATGTATATTTCTGTTCAGGTGTGGGTATAGCCTGAATTTTAAAAAGTGGAATTGCGGAGTTTAAGATACAACCGGTCCTTGAATAATGTTTTGTTCCATGTCATTTTATTATAACATTGATGAGAAGCCATAAAAACTTAAACTCTTGTTTATATCAACTAGCCTATAGTAAAATTGGTTTCATTATATGTGGTTTCATTTAAAGTCCAGAACATATCAATACTATTGAGGACTTACTGTATGCATTTACATTTTTATAGATATTGTCAAATTGCCTATGAAACGGGCTTTAGCAGTCTTTTCTTATTGACAGGAAGGTCTATAAGTCCACTTGCTGGCCCAGCTTGGACTGAATCAGAACACGGTCCTGTGGAAGGCAGCAAGCCTTCTAGTTGCACCTTCACAAGAAAGTCTAATGCTGACCAATGACTGGCTAGAGAAGTTTTATCCAAGCTCAGCACAAAAGCCATCTCTTCTAGTGGCATTAAATTAATACACAAGCAGTCTCCTGGTGTTAAAACTTGACATTTTAAAACTACAGCTTGAAATATAGTTGTCATGTATTTATAAAATTAAATTTGGATTGAACATTTATGGAGCTCCTAAACCATCTTCTGGTGTGCAAAGCCCCAGCCTGGAGGGTTTCATTTAAGGTCAAGGGCAAGCAGCAGAGGCCCTGGTCTCTGACTGAAGCCCATCCATCCCACATGGTGCAGCTTTGCACATGAGGTTTTGCTGGGCTCTGCCCTCTACCTGGAATGTCTGCCAGGTTTCCTTCTACAAGACTCTGCTGAGGTTCCCTAAGGGGCTTCCCCCACCACCCCAGGCAGAGCTTACCCCTGCCTCCTCTGTTGTTCTTCAGAACCTTATTTATACTGCTTGTATTGCACAAATCATATTGTGCTGTGATTTTTCTCTTTCACCTGCTTCTTACTGTCGAGCCTAGGGTTAGACAGGTGAAGTGCCAATGGTGAAAAACCGTCAGGAGACAATCACTCTCAGAGTCATGTGAAGTTTTGCACCTCTGAGCCAAGTCCTAGTCCTGGGTAGCCTGCTACTGGGCTGGCTAGGAGGGCTGAACCTGCATCTTAGCCCCCAAGCCAGGCAAGCAGCGCGGCATCGTGCAGCCTCCCACAGCATCTGGCTCCTGGTTCCAGGGACCTGCAGAGACAGGTTTGCTTTCCCAGGCAAGGTTAAAACAAGAATCATTAAATCTGTGTCTTCTAGGTCATAAAGGAAAATTTTCAAGTTTCGTTAAAAAATACAGGAAACGCTCTAAAATGGACAAACCTGTTGCAAAGAGTCACCGTGTCTATCACATTGAGTATTTCCTTCTGCCGGATGATAAGGAGCCTAAAACAGCTGACTTGGTGGTGTTTCAATCGGTGGTCAAAGTGTTCCTGGATTCAGGAGTAAAGGTGTGTGTGTGTGTGTGTGTTGTAGCCTTGCATATAGCATACAGCCTAATACTCACTACACAAAGTGTACTCACTTTCCCTGGAATTTTCTAGAAATGCAGGATCTTGGGCCCCATCCCACATCTACCGAATGAGAATCTGTATTGACCTAATAATACCAATTAAATAATTTTTGTGTTTAGATTTTTTTTCTAATAATTTCTTTCGTGTTTCAAAGGGTTTTGTAGCTCCTGTGATTTCTTTCTTTCTTTGTGTGCATGTGAGCACGTGTGTGCACACCCACCTGCCTGCGCGCACACACACACACGCACACACACACGCACCTGCTTGTGGCCCAGCTACGACTGGAATCACTGGAAAGGACACTATTTGTAGGTATTTGCTTTAATGTAATTTTTCCCAAGGAACCCAGAAGTGTGACAGGGCTCAATCCATGCCACCCACTTCCCGATGTGACTTGGAACCGGGGAGAGAGCCAGAGCAGTCAGACAGGTGCAGAGCAAGACCAGCTTCACTGCCCATCGGGCCAGCCTGGCAGTGGCAGCTACTCCGAGACTGCTGAGCCTCCTCGCTCCCCACACTGACAGCCTCTCCGTGTTTTTCTACACAGATTGTGAGGCCATGGCATGAAGGCGACAAAGTCTGGGTGTCATGGACCCAAGTGTTTAACATCAACATGACAAAGGAATTACTAAAGAAAATGAATTTTTACAAAATAACCTTGAAGCTCTGGGACAATACAGACAAGGTTTCCAAAAAAATCAAGTATTCTCGACTCAAGATTTCTGGGTATTTAGAGGAGGCAGGATCTTTTGGTAAGTCAGGTATTCATGTTTTATTTGAAATGTTTCTAGGGGTTGTGGCTTCTCACTGGTAACAGGAGAAAAGCCTGTGTTTCCTTGACCTTATTTTCCTGGGCTTACACTGGTTTCTGCATCAGTGGTACGTCCTTCCTCCAGGATGCGCTGGGGTGTCAGGAAATGCCACCTGGCATCTGTGTGCACGTTAGCCACCACCTCCACCTCTGCCACCTTTGGGGACGTCCTGTCCCTGGACAGTGTGCCAACATAGGCAGCACCCAAGCCTGTCTCCCCGGATGAGTATTGTGTGTTTGCTAGGGAAAAAAAAAAAAAAACTAGAGGACACCAAGAAATAAAAGAGAAAACTTAAAATAACTTAAAAAGTCCCACCACCCCAAGACATCATGTTAGCAGTTTCACATAGACCCTCTAGACTCTTACTGTGTCAATATTATATCAACCCCAGAAAGTCTCCTTTTTAACTCCCCTTGAAGGAGAGTGCTGGGAGGAGGAGGAGAAAGACCCAGGCTTCGCAGTCAGACAACTCAATCCTGTCTCCATCCTGAACTAGCTGGTGACCTGGGGCATGTACCTGCTTTCTCTGGTCAGATGCCTGGAACAGGGCAGTGAAAGTGGTCCTCGGGCACAAGCCAAAAAGATGGTGTGCACTGTCTATACAGAATTTAAAAACAATGAAATGCTGTCAATTAAAACATGCCATGGCAGTCATTGTAAAAATGCATCTCCATTTTTAGAGATGTTAAAAGGTAAAAGCAATGTGCACTGGAGAATACATGGAGTACAATTATACTGCTGCTGTCGGTGGCTAGCCAAGAAGTACAGCTCTTCCCATTTTATAGTAAGCACCAGAGACTGTCACTTGCTCAAAGTGAATGGCAGTGCCACAGTCAGAACCCAGTTTTGTAACTTGAAAATCTCCGTTCTCCAAGTTTACAGCCTTTCTGGCATTGGGTGCCTAGGGCTTCCAACTTTTATTTCTATTTTTTATTTGAAAAAGTTTTCTTTTTTTCTTCTTTAAATTTTTAGAGAGAGAGGAAGGGAGAGGGAGAGAGAAATATGGATGAGAGAGAACATCAACGGGCCACCTCCTGCATGCACCCCACTGGGGACTGGACCCATAACCTGGGCATGTGCCCTGACCAGGAATAGAACCAGTGACCTCTTGGTGCATGGGTCAACACTCAACCACTAAGCCACACTGGCCGGGAATGGGCTACCAGCTCTTTATCTTTCATTATAGCCAGCATTTTTTATCCTTGGCACTATTGGCATCTTGGGTCTGATCATTCCTTGTTGTGGGACTGTCCCGTGCACTATAGGATGTCTGGCAGCATCCCTCTGGCTGCCAGAAGTAGCCCCCAGTTTTGACCATCAAGAATTTCTTCAGACATTGTCTCCTAGAGGAATGGGGGACAAAATCACCCCTTGCTGAGAATCACTGGTTTCTATCAAAACTACTAATCGTAGGATTCTTGTGTGAGAAAATGGGATTCAAGGTGACTTTTCTCACTTGTATCAAAGGAAAGACCCGTGGCCTCAAAGTGTGGCCTCTAACCCACTTGATTAGATGCACTTTGCAGATTCTAGGGCTTGTCCCAGAGCTGCTGAGCCAGAGTTCCTGGCAAGCATCTTACCTGCAGAAGCTCACTTTGGAGCAGGGGTACTGGGGCTTCTGGGGAAGGGGCCATGGAGCCAGGACTGGAAGGGTACATGGAGTGAGCTGGCCAGAAAGTAAAAGAGAAAGGATGCTGTCAGCCCTGCTGTGAGGGCCCGTGGACTATTTGCTTAGTGTTCTTGAAATAAGAGCACCTACCCTTCCTCGAACTTTGTCCCAAGCTTAGTATCACCTGCAGCTTATATTAAATAATTTATTTCTGCCAGGCCAGTGTGGCTCAGTGGATTGAGCATCATCCCATGGACTGAGAGGTCCCAGTTCAATTCCTGATCAGGGCACATGCCCGGGCTGTGGGCTCGATCCCCAGTAGGGGATGTGCAGGAGGCAGCCGATCGATGTTTCTCTCTCACATCAATATTTCTATCTCTCTCTAAAATAATCAATAAAAACAAATTTTAAAATAATAATTTTCCTACTAGAAAAATTAGTATGTTTTCACTTTGTAAAACAATTCAGAAATAGACTAGTTAAAAAGAAGAAGAAATTAAAATCACAAGAAACCTAACCAGAGATAGCCATTTCTAACACTTCCCTGTCATTTTCTATATGTAGTACAAAATGTTAACAAAAATAAATCTATTATACATGTTGTCTTAAGTTCTGCCTTTTTTCACTTAAAAACTTTCTTCTTAAAACTCCTGTTTTTGGAGAGTGCAAAAATACCATAAGAGGTTTGGTACCAAGGAGATACGAAATGTATTTGGATGCACTGTAGGTTATGTGCCAGAATGTGTTAGCTTTCAGCCTACTGGTGTTGAATGGAGCATCCCAGCCAAGAGTTAGCATTTCTCTTCCATAAAATCTGCTCAGTCTCTTGGTGACTCAGTATTGAAGAACAACATCATTCTTGAAAGCCCCCCTCCCCACCGCAGGTCAGAGTTGATTCCTGCTGTGTCTTCAATTCTTGGCCGATCCCCCCCGCCCCCAACACCTAGTTGGTGTCCTACTTGTGTGTTATCCTTTGCGCTCTCTCCCCCTCAGCTTGCTCTTCTCTGTGAACCCAGCTCTTTTTCTGTCTCCTCTCTTCTACCATTGTCCCATGACCTTTCTACATCACCCTTTACCCTGACATTTCATTGCTCTACAACTTTTTATGGCTGCCCAGTGCCTAAGTGGGGACCAAGTCTGACTTCTGAGTTCAGCCTTAAAAGCATCTTATAATTTGTTCCCCACAGCTCCTTTCTCATTGCCTCTCCCACCTCATACCTTGTCCACCCCTGGTCCCTGAAGATACGAGGCTTTTCCTCACTGTAGGGCCTGCCTTCAGGCATTTTGGCTATATTTAAGGGGCTCTTAGCATCATCTCTTTCTTCAAACTTTTTCATCTATCCTTCAGCACAACCCATTTTCACCTCTTTTTCCCCCACGCCTGTCTTGTAGCTTCCATTATCTCCTTTCATTCACTTAATTTCTCTGCTCAGTCATCTTTCCACCAGCTGGTTGCTATCATGTGCACATCAAGCCCCATGTTGACAGAAGTGAAGAACGTGCATGAAGGGGCCATCTACACAGCGGAGGGCAGAAGCTCTTGACTTTGCTAAGTTAAGCCCAGCTCTCTGACTGCAGGAAAGTCACTTCAGTGTCAGATTCCATGTCTGTAACAAGGGGAAGTGTGATGATTAAATGGAATAACATATGTCAAGCACTTAATGGTCTTATTTGGAAGAAGCCATTGCCCGTTGAGGTTTACGTTTCCTGGTGTTTTGGAGCAGCCCCTGAGGCAACACCTCCAGGAGGTCAGGGGCCTTGCCTCCCCTGTCCACTGCTCCATCTCCAACACCAGAGAAGATAGCCACATAGTGGGTATTCAGTAAGTATTTCTGGTTAATTGAACCAACGATTCTTTTTTATCCTGCATTCTAGAGGAAGTGAAACAAATGGTTTTAAATCAGAGATCACCGCCTGAACAAAACATTCAGGTCAAAGAGGAGTGGAGCCAGGAGTATGAACTGGAAAAGCTAGAAAAAGCAGGAAAGCACTTGAAGCCTTTGCACGGTGAGTAGAGATGCCCCCTGTGGACAAGCTGAGTGAAAACTGGGCCGGGAGCCACTGCTGGGGATGCTGGTGCAGAGCGTGCGCGCTGGCATCCAGCCCTCTGTCCGCGCCCTCCGGCACCACGCACCTGCCAGCGCCCGCCCTGCTCTCTGCACAACCCACTGGAGGCTGTGGAGTCTTTCTCTTCATTTAATTTGGGTCTACTTTGTGGCTTACAAAAACACTTTCCAAATGTAGCAGTTATGTGTGTGTGAGAGAGAAAACTCAGTAAATGTAAACATATATGAGATGAGCAGGGGAAATTATCTGTAATTCCATCACCAGGAACAGGCCTTGTATTATCTTGGTTTATCACATTGTAACAAATTCCTTTCTTTTTTTTTCTAAGATTTTTTTACATAGATAAGGTTATCCTGGGTTCGTAATTGCATATTCTGAGGTTAATGTGTCATCTGTGCACTTTCCAGTTTCCTTCAAAACTTTCCATAAACTTTAATTAGGATGACTAAATATAATTTCATCTGCTGGTAATAAATACTATAATTTGCTTAATCATTCCCTATAGATGGGAACTTAGAAAGCTGGAGGTATTTTTAGTATTCTCTAATGTAAACAGTGCCGAAGTGGACAGTTGAATAGATAATATTCAATCCTTTTTTTTTTCCTTTGTGAGATATTATGTTAATAACTGGGGCTCCCCTCTTCCTCCATTTGTCCAAATAACTATAATTAGCCTGTATATCTGATCGTTTACTCATTTATTCTTAACAAACCTTTTTACTGAACGCTCACCACACAGAGGCCTGCCTGGGGCCGGCATACATAGTGTGAAAGGGGCCCTCATGTCTCAGTGAGCTCAGATGGAACAAGATGTTGAGAAACATTTGCTAATAAATATTACCAGGTTCTCATCCAGCAGAGCCTGAAACTTTTTCCACAAATACCGAGAAAAACAAAAAGCTACTCAGAACAAAAGATCTAGTCACAATTGGGTAAGGAAGGACCCCATAGTATTTTGGGGAGTGGGAGTGGAGCCCCGTCTTGTACTAGTCCCACAGACTTTCACCATGAACCATGTAGACTTTAGTACATTCAGTTAATGGGAACTCATGCAGTCCAGGAGGAAATTAAAGGAACGCTTGTGTTTATGAGCACCTTATAAATCAGGCACTGTGCTTTGGAATGCATTACTTTATCTCATTTGATATTCATAATGATCACTGTTGGGTGGTATTACTATCTCTATTTTCTACACAAGGTGATTTGAGTGGTTAAGTAATTTGTACAACGTTCTGAGACCAGAATTCTTGGGAATTCAGGGAATATTGGTAAAGCCAGGATCCTGACCCACACCTTCAGATTCCTGGGTCCACAGCCCTTACTGGCTGAGAGTACAGTTCTCTTGGGGCCTCTTGGAGCTTAAGAAGGGCCTGGAGGAGGAGTTTCCTTGGATGCTTTGGGGACCATGGATAAAATGGAGGCCCAGATGGTGGCTTGGGGTAGTGGGACACGTTCAACCAAGAGAAAATGTCATTTAAAAATCTTAATTTTAAAAAGTTGTTTTTACATTAAACTTATGGATTAATTTGGGAGGAATTGACATTTTTACTTTGAGAAGTTCTCCCATCCCTGATCATGCTGTATCTTTTTACCTAATTCAGGTTCTCCTTTATGACTTTGTTAATAGAGTTATTTTTTTTTCTTCCTATGGGTGTTATGAATAATTTCTGTAAATGAATTCCTGGATATTTTAGAATTTCAGTTGCTTTCATTAAAAAATATATTATTTTCCATGATAGAGGGGTACACAAAAGTAGGCAAAAGAAGGTATACAGTTGTTCACATGGGAAACACAATTTATTCTTGTATTATTTATTTATTTATTATTGTGTTATTTTCCATATAAACAACTGTAGACCTACTTTTGCTCCCCCCCCCCCCCGTATTTTCTAGTTGGTTAGAAATTGATGGTGCAAGTGTGGTCTACAGACCAACAGCATCAGCATTACCAGGGAACCTGTTAGAAATGTGGAATCTCAGGACCACCCTAGGCTTACTAAAACATAATCTGTATTTTATTTCACAAAATTCCCAGGTAATTCATATACATGTTAAAATTTGAGAAGCATTGGATTACAGGAATGCAATGCTATAACTTTTAACTTGTTCATGTTTAGTCATGTAAATATCTGGTTCCTGATTTTTTTTTCACCTTTATTTATTTTTCTCTTTGTGAATATTTTAATGGAGCATTTCAAGAATATTTCTTTGGGAGGGACAACCATAATAGGGGTGAAAGAATTCACTGTGAGACTTTTATTTAGCAGCTTAACAAACATAAAAGCAAACATTTCAAAGTAGGATTGGATTTTGGAATTTTATAATATAACTAGACTCAGAAGAATCACAAAATATTTCAATAAGATTCTTTGATATCTGTCCAAATATTACTCAAAATAAGAAGATACTACACATACTTTCAACTTATCCATTCTATCTCACCTCATTCATCCATCCATCCACCCATCCATTCATTTAATTCCATTTCATTCCATTTGCTTTATCCACATTATCCCATTTATTCACCTCCTCTATCAATCCCTTCCCATTCTTCCAATACTTTTGTATTTCTGATCCATGGTGTTGTCAACTTGGGAAACATGAAAATCTCTAATGTTTACTAGAGACGTTCAAGCACATAATTACAATTCTATGTGATAGATGCTATGTTAGGGGTAGGTATGTGGTATGTTGGGGAAGCACAAAAGAGTGGGGGAAAGACTCTCCTTGGAATATAGGAGGCTATATGCTTATTGTGGAATGAGGGAGAGGGCATCCCAGGTTGCAGGAACTGCTCTTGTAGAAGCATGCAATCTTAGTGACAGACTGCCCAGAGGCAAAGATCCTCAGAGCCTCAGTATGAGACAGAATTCTACAGCCAGTGCGCTTGCTGTCTGCTGGGATGGTCATTTCCCATGCATTCAGCTGTAACTGCTACAAGTCATTTCCTTGGCTCTCCGTCAGCTGATCTGCTTTTCCTGGTTCATTCACACTGAGGCTACAGAGAAGTGACTGCTGGAAGGAGTCGGGCTACTAGGTGTTGGAGACACAAAGGAATAAGAAAGACTAGTCCACACTTTCATATCTAAACATTGCTCAGCTCTTTCTGAGTTTTCTCTTTTCCAGAATAAACAGCCCCACTCCTTTTTAGGTTTTTAAGTATTTTAATGAGATTTTCAAACCATTCTTTTTATTCTGAAATAAAGATACACAGAAAAATATAACAACAATGTACCCACATTTTAGGTGTTATTATCTTGCTGTATTGTCTTAAATCTCTTTCTTGCTCTTTCTTCTTCTTTCTTTTTTTAAAGAAAAAGAAGATTACAAATACAATTTAATTCCTTTTTGCATCCTGCACTTTTAAGAATTATACCATATCCTGGTATAATTCTTGGTGTGATCCCTCCTTCCTGCCACCCCATTCTTTCTCACCCATTCATACAACATTGTATCGATTTTTGTTTTTATGAATTACAGAAATGACTCCATACCAAACATATTTTGCTGCAACTTGCTTTTTGCACTAACTTTATTTCTGAGATTTATTTGTGTCAATCAATATATGTAAGTCCAGCACCTTCATTTCAACCTCTGTAAAGTACTTCATTAGATGCATGTACCATCCTCCATGTGGCCTCGCACCCAGGGGCATCTGATTTGTCTCCCATTTCCCGTGCCACCAGCACTGCCCTAGTGAGCATCCCTGTGCACCTGCGGGAGAATCTAGGGCAGTGATTTTCAACTGGTGTGCTGCAAGAATTTTTAAAACACACAACACCTGACTGTTTAATCAGGGTATTGAGCTCGTTTCCTTTAGATTGACAAATTAAAAATATATATATATATACAACAGCCAAAACATCAATAGCCGTCAGGTGTAAATGAATAAAAATTATACCTATTTTTTTGTCAGATAAACAAAAAATATAGTAATTTTTTGGTGTGCCGCAGATTTTAGTCATTAGTTTATGTGTGCCATGAGATGAAAATGGTTGAAAATCGCTGGTATAGGGCATTGCGCAGTGCCATCACCAGGTGTATGAAATACCTTTACCCCTCAGGATGCTGACAGTTTACTCTCTGGGCTGTACCTCCTCGCCCTCCTGACAGCATTCCTGAGAATTCCTGCTCTCCACACCATCACCTAAGCTTGTCACAGTAGGGGCTTAATTACTCATTCCTAATAAGGTTGAGAGTCTCTCATATGCTTATTTGATCACATTTGTATATGATTAGCCTCTCCTTATATCTTTGCCTATTTTTCTGTTCGGTTTCAAATTTTTTTTTATGAATTAACAATGTACATCTTCTAATTATGCATTGTCAGTTACATGCATTATAAACATTACAGACTGAGATCTGTAACTTATTTTTATTTGGTAAAACGGATAATTATTCCTTTTGTACTTCTGGCAGTGTTTTAGGAAATTTTCCTCATAGGGATGTCAATATAGTTTCCTATGAATTCTTGTCATGATTTTGAAGATTCTGTTTTCCCCCTTTAGCCTGCAGTTCATTTTGCATATGGCACTGATGCCACTGTAACAATCTGGTTATTAAGTACCAGGAAAGGAGCAGCAGGGAGGCCAGATAATATAGGCATGCCATCTGTGCCAGGAAGCTGCGGTTTAACACTCTCCAGGTCTGTTCCCTGCAGATCCTGGGGGAAGGGACTGGACAAAGGAAGGATAAACGCATACCCGGTGGTCCAAATGAAATAGAAATGTACATGCCTGTCACACCTGCGAACAGGTCATTGGCGAGAATAGGCATGGCCATTGCAAGTGCGGGAAGATTTGATATTTAAACTCCTAAACAAAGATGTTCTCTCTCTCTCTCTCTTGCTCTCTCTTGCACATTGGGCTCCTGGTACTCTTGTTGCAGAGGGTGCAGTCCCCTGCATTTGTCCACATAGCCCACAGCCATGTGGATCCCACACACAATTGACTAATGAACTGCAACTACCCTGATGCTGTGCCAGACTTAACTCCACCGTGAAATGGAAACTCTGAACACTGGCTTTGCTTTTAGCTCTGCTAAATCCCCAGCTGTACCTCCTTCAGAACTGGTTTAAGAGAAATGGGGCTTTGCAAACCAAGGGATGTAACTCCCTGCAAATAAAGTTTTTTTTACCACCTCTCATCTTCCCATGGGGGCCTCCAGAAATGCTTATTCCAGCAGTGTCCCATGAACCCCACTCCCTGGAGCAATGGAGAGGGGCAATCCACATGATTCTCTGATAACAGCATGTGTCCAACAGTTTCATCCGCCTCTAAATGAACAGTCAATATTAATTGACTAGTCCATTCCTTCCCACTGGTTTGAAATGCCAACTCTGGCATCTATTAAGTCCCTTTTGTGTGTGGATCTAGTTCTGGGCTTTCCAGTCTGTTCCATGGGCCTCTGTACAATGGAACCAATAGCTCATGGTAACTAGCCCCTCTGCCCATATTCTTGGGTGGCAGCAGGTGGAGAGTCGGGACAGCCCTCAATTTCTCCCTGCATATAACTGGCAACTGGTCAGCCACATTTAGATACCTCTTCTGGTTGCCGGGAAGGAGCCGCAGCACAGAGAACAACCACTGCCTTCAAGGAGTTTCCAGAACCTTCCAAGACGTTTGCAGCATGTGTGTATTCACGTGTGGCAGCTTGAATGTGAGCTCCTCTTAACACTTATTTCCCTCTTTTGATTTTACAGTTAAGTGGAAAGAATCAGACAGGGGAAAGAAAAAAATGAAAAGAAGGAAGAAATGTCAAACAGAAGAGGAAGCTGACCCCAAGCTGGCGGACTACTGGAAGCAGGGCGCCTTCACCATCCAGCTGGCAGTAATGCCGCTCCTTGCAGGTAGCCTCACCCACGCCCAGTGGCTTCTGTGTTTGTCACAGTGGCTACAAGTCCATAAGCAGGATGCTCATGGTGACCAAACCCTGCTCTATGCTACCTAACGTCATGCTCACAGCTACCTTAGCAAAGAGGGGGGTGAGTGTCCCTGTTTTATACAGAGAGTTTAAATGCATTTTTTAAGATTACATAGCAAGTAAGTGTAAAGCCAGGATGTGAACCCAGGTTTAATGTCAAAGTCTAAGGAAAAGCCTGTGACAATGATAAATGTCGCAATTTTGCTAAACAAGATGCTGCTTTTTATAAACTGTTTCCTCAAATTTTCATGAAAACATCTAGTAAAAGAAATTAGGAAAGAGAACCAGTATTTATGCCCCATCATTTGCTTCTCATGACAAACTTTGACCCTCCCAACAGACTGATGGTGTGGTGTCAGGGGTGGTGGTTATAACTGCCACCAATCTTTTCAGTGAAGAGTTAACCTGAGGTCACAGAGCTCAGTGGCAGAACAGGGCTTTGAATGTTTTGCTTTGTAAGGTCTATCACCAGTTATAAGCTAGGCTTCCTACAGTTGGATAAATAACAAATAGGCATGTATTAAATCCATACGTTTTGATGATGGAAAGCTCAGAATATACTTGGGGTAAAATTATGTGACTTTGTTTTTAAAAGGGTAATATAGCAGAGGGCATGCTCTCATTTTTCTCCTTAGAGAATAATTTGAAAACTATTTCATTGTGGGGAATTTTGGGCCATCATGGTGAATGTACGCTTTCTACTGGTCAATCAACAGACATTTAGTCTTAGGTCTTTTCTGAGATGGAACTGACCACATTTAGTGTCAAGTTCCAAGGGTGCTGGGAAAATCATAATTCTCCTAGGCTCTTGGGTCTATATTGATGCATTTTGAGGAAATGCTATTAAGTTTTTATCTTTCACTTTTGAATGGATTTTTTAATCAGCTTTGACCCAAAGTCAGGTTTTTCAGACTGACTGCCTTAGCCCCCGCCTCCCCCCATTCAGACTTTTTCCTCGAGAAGTGCTGTTTCAGAGACGCTTCGCCCCTCTCATGCTGTGTCTGGGAGGACTGAGTGTCCCCCACACCTGTTGTGTGCCTCTGAAACATCATGGTCCTTGAGTGTCGAGGAAGAACCAGTGGTCCTCTAGGTGGGTGAGCTCGGGGTGACCTACCCGACTTTGCTCCCTACTTTTGCTGTGAGGGGAATGTCAAATGGTCTTGGCCTGCCTGGCATGACCATTTCCAGCACAGTGAAACCAAGAGGTTCCTGGGCCTCCCCTGCCTTGAACCTGGGCCATCATGATCAAATAATGTGACCGTTATTGCAAGAGCTCCAATAACAGACTTTGGATCTTGACTCAGCCACTTACCAGCAAGTTATCTGCTTTCTCTAAGTCTTAGTTTCCTCCTCTATAAAATGGGAGAAAAATCCCTACCCTCTACCTCCTATAGGAAGGAGATGATCTGTGTCAACTGCTTAGCATGAAGCCTTGCACACAGTAAAACACAGACAGCTTGCTGGCGTGGAGGTGGCAGATGCTTCTGTCAGGACACTGGGTGGGCCTCTAGCAAGGAAAACAGAAGGAGACCCTCCTCCCTTACACTGATGTCATGGTTGATGGTGATAAACTGAGAATGGCCCTTGCTCAGCAGGTCAGTTCTGAGTTTGTGTTTGCTATCACAGCATAGGATCGATTCCAAAACCAGCATGATTTTATCTGTAGTAGTCATCTTCAGTTTCAAACTAGCCCAAGATTTTGCATTCTTCAGTGTTCCGTATTGGCTAGTTTGTAACCCAGCAAGGTTCTAGAAAGATTCTGAAATGAACTCTTATTTTTATTGCATAGTGAAAGTGCCAATCTTAGCCAAGCAGGACTGGTTTATGCACTGGCTCCAATGCTTAGCCAAGAGACCTTGGACGATTACATAACATCTCTGGCCCCCAGTTTCCCCATCTGTAAAGCAAAACTGATAGCAACCGTACAGCATTGTTTAAGGGTTAAATGGCTTTAATGCATATTGCAGCCTAGCAGTTGTAGGTGCACCAACCACACAGAGTCCATTTCTCTGCACCTTTTCCCTTATGCTGGAATAGAGATTCTCAATGCAGGCACTTGTGCCCCCCAGGGGACATTTGGCAGTGGATGGAAGCATTTTTGGTTATCACAAACAGGAGCCAGATGCTATTAGCATCTAGTAGGATCCTGCTAATGTCCCCACAACAGACAATTATCTATCCACAAATGTCTGTAGTACTGAGGCTGGGAAACCCTACCCTGCAATTGTGGCTGACATCTTCCTAAATTTCTGGGTGATGATTTGACATGTTTGTTCTGGAGATTTTTTCTAAACTGGGCAATCTTTTATATGAAAAGTCTTACAAATATGTAGAACACAAATCATAATTAGTTATGGACTTAAGGAGTGGCTTTCTTGAAGAAAGTCCCGTGGGAGCAGGGTTGTCCCCAGGAGATGCTCACTGCCCATGCAGACAGCAGCACACACATGGCCTATTTTGGAAGTACCTACTCTTTCTGAGCTTGAGTGACTGGGTTTTGATGTGCCCTGGAAATATATTTACAAGCATTTTGAAAGGAATAGAACTAATTTTTTTATAACATGTACTATTTGCTGGGCAGTGTTCCTGGCACCTGGCATAACCCTAAGAAAGGTAGCCGCTGTGCCCATTTTAAATGAGTAATTTGAGCCAAAGAGCCTCTAACTTGTTGTGGGTCATGTGCTACCAAGAGTCAGACCTCGGATTTGAACCTAGGCCTCTCTGCTTGCAAAACTGGAGCTTTATGAATTTTTCCCCTACACCAGTATGTCTCCAACCTGCTGAAATGAATGGACACCTTTTATTAGAAAAGTATTACCACAGCTATCTGTGTGTCATGCAGTGGCTCATTTCATCTGCCTTTTTTTCTGGTTGTACTATTGTAAAATCAACTAGTGGGAGGTCGATTGACTTGGCTCAAATGTATCAGTTATGTTCTACATTAGTAGCTATGCTTTTCTCATTAGACCACAGCAGTTAAAGTGACAACCATGGACACCAAAAGAACTTGTTTTTTAATGTGTTCTACTCTAAAATAACAGCCTGGAGCAGCACTCTCCACCAGAGCTTTCCACAGTGCTTGAGATATTTTATATCTGCACTGTCCAACCCAGTAACTCAGAGCCACACATGGCTACTCAGCATTTGAAATGTGACTTGTGTAGAAGGAACTACATTTTAAACTGTCTTTAATTTTACTTAATTTAAATTTAAGTAGCCACATATAGCCAGTAAGTACTGTACTAGACAGCACAAGTCTAGGATGGTGGTTCTGAATCACCTGGGGAACTTCTTAAAATCACAATGTGAAGGCCAGCTAAATCAAACTGTTTTGGGCGGCACCCAAGTATCCTTATTGTATCCTATAAATGATTCAGGAACTGCTTATATTACAAGATGATCATCAAGATTAAACTTAAAAGTTAAATTCTCTTAGAGAATTTATGAATGCTCAATTTGAGAAACGGGTGTGTAACATGCTGTCTGCATGTGTTTCCCAATTTTTTCCCCCCTCAAAGATTTCTTTTTTGTTGTCATTTTATCATTGTCTCTTCTCAGCTTGCCCAATCCCTCTGTGTTGTCTTGGGAATGTCATGAGTAACAGTCTAATGCTGTGTGTGTCCCCCCATCCCCCACCCCACCAGGATGGCAAAGTGTCGTGAGTCGTGGCAGTAAAATATCTGCCAACATTTTAGATTGCTTTTTGACTTTAAAAACAGAAGGTCCCATCATGACAGAAGAACAAAAGCAAGACTTAAACCCCCTGATCATAAAGATCAAATGTATTTCCTGCCTTCCATCGCAACCTGTGCCCATCCATGACCTAGAGGTAAGAATGAGCCAGATGAACTGGCTCCTTTTCCCAGCCAGCGTCCCATTAGGTGTTATCTTTTATCCCCCCAGTGGCCCTACATGAGGTGTATAACCATCCTCATTTTATTTGGGATCTCACAACATAAAAGAGATTGAGTTTCTCAGATTAGGAACTACCAAGTCTTGAGGTCTCCCACTACACCACAGATGTTCTTTAAATGGAGGCTGTGGTTCCCCCTTCAAAGGGGCTCCTAGACCTCCTCGTTACAGCAGCAGTGCTCACTTATTTTGAACCAGTCAGGTTAGCACTGCTGTTTATCTTGGAAGTTTCTTTATCACTCTCTTGGTGGGATCCCTGCCCCTAGATTCGATGTCTTCCTCTTTCTTTGTTTGCTCTCTGGTTTTGCTGGAGCACATTCTCCTGTAGCTTCTTGAGAAAAGGTTAAATGATGGGATAGGCTTGTACTTCTTCAACCTACGGATTCATGTCTTAGACATGTTCTTAAAGTTTCTATTCTTTTTTTTTTTTTATGAATTTTTATTTATTTTTTTGTTACAGACATTTTACCTTTTTACCCCATTGGCACCCCCCAACCCACCCCCCCTCCACCCTGTCCCCGGCTTAGTTGCCCATGTCCATTGGTCATGCATACATGCATATAAGTTCTGTGGTTTATCTCTTCTCACACCCCCACCCCCCACCCCCTCTTCTGAGGGATGTCAGTCTGTGCCCTACTTCCATGTGTCTGGGTCTACTGTATTTCTCAGACTGTTATGTTCATTATATTCCATATATAAGTGAAATCATGTGGTATTTGTCTTTTTCTGCATGGCTTCTTTCACTTAGGATAATACTTTCCAGGTCCCTCCATGTCGTCTCAAAGGATAAGAGATCTTTCTTTCTTACCGCTGCATAGTACTCCATTGTGTATATGTACCACGGTTTTTTTATCCATTCGTCTACTGGTGGACACTGGACTATTTCCAGATTTTACCTATTGTAAATAGTGCTGCTATGAACATGGGGGTACATATATTCTTCCTGATTGGTGTTTCAGGCTTCTTAGGGTATATTCCCAGCAGTGGGATCACTGGGTCAAATGGAAGTTCAATTTTTAATTTTTTGAGGTAGCACCATATTGTTTTCCATAGCGGCTGCACCAGTCTGCATTCCCACCAGCAGTGTATTAGAGTCCCCTTTTCTCCACACCCTCGCCAACACTTGTTGTTTGATGATTTGTTGATGGCGGCCATTCTGACAGGTGTGAGGTGATACCTCATTGTTGTTTTAATTTGCATCTCTCTGATGATTAGTGATGTTGAGCATTTCTTCATATGTCTCTTAGCCATTTGTATGTCCTGTTTGGAGAGGTGTCTATTCAGCTCCTCTGCCCATTTTTTAATTGGGTTCTTTGTCTTCCTTTTGTTGAGTTGTATGAGCACTCTATATATATTGGAAATTAACCCCTTATCTGATACATCATTGGCAATGATGTTCTCCCATACAGTGGGTTGCCTTTCCATTTTGATGATTGTTTCTTTTGCTGTGCAGAAGCTTTTTAGTTTGATGTAGTCCCATGTGTTCATTTTCTCCTTTATTTCTGTTGCCTTAGGTGATGTATCAGTGAAAACTCTGCTCTGTATGATGTCTGAAATTTTGTTGCCTACATTTTCTTCTAGAATTTTTATGGATTCACGGGTCACATTTAAGTCTTTTATCCATTTTGAGTTTATTTTGGTGTATGGTGTAAGTTGATGGTCTAGTTTCATTTTTCTGCATGTAGCTATCCAATTTTCCCAACATCATTTATTAAAGAGGCTGTCTTTACTCCACTGTATGCTCTTGCCACCTTTGTCAAATATTAATTGAGCGTATTGCCTTGGGTCCATTTCTGGGTTTTCAGTTCTGTTCCACTGGTCTATATGCCTGTTCTTGTGCCAGTACCACGCTGTTTTGATTACAGTGGCTTTGTAGTATAACCTGATATCTGGTATTGTGATCCCACCTACTTTGTTCTTCTTTTTCAAGATTGCTGTGGCTATTCGGGGTCTTTTTTGGTTCCATGTGAACTTTTGAAGTATTTGTTCTAGTTCTGTGAAATATGTCGTCGGTATTTTGATGGGGATTGCATTGAATCTATAGATTGCTTTGGGTAGTATGGACATTTTAATTATGTTAATTCTTCCAATCCATGAACAGGGTATGTGCTTCCACTTTTTTATATCTTCCTCTATTTCTTTTTTCAATGACCTGTAGTTTTCTGCAAATAGGTCCTTTACTTCTTTGGTTAAGTTTATTCCTAGGTATCGTAATTTTTTTGTAGCGATGGTAAATGGGATTGTTTTTTCAGTTTCTCTTTCTGTGAGTTCATCATTGGTGTACAAGAATGCCATCGATTTCTTGACGTTAATTTTGTATCCTGCTACTTTGCCAAATTCATTTATTAAGTCTAATAGATTTTTGATGGAGTCTTTAGGGTTTTCTATGTACAATATCATGTCATCTGCAAATAATGACAGTTTCACTTTCTCCTTTCCAATTTGGATCCCTTTTATTTTTTCTCCCTGTCTGATTGCTGTGGCTAAGACTTCCAGTACAATGTTAAATAAGAGTGGTGAAAGTGGACATCCCTGTCTTGTTCCTGTTCTTAATGGAAATGTTTTTAGTTTCTGTCCATTGAGTATGATGTTGGCTGTAGGTCTTTCATATATGGCCTTTATTATGTCGAGATATGATCCCTCTATTCCTACACTGCTGAGCGTTTTTATCAGAAATGGATGCTGGATTTTGTCGAATGCTTTTTCAGCATCTATTGATATGATCATGTGGTTTTTATTCTTCATTTTGTTTATGAGGTGTATCACGTTTATTGTTTTGCGAATATTGTACCAGCCTTGCATCCCTGGAATGAATCCCACTTGGTCATGGTGAATAATTTTTTTGATGTATTTCTGGATCCGATTTGCTAATATTTTGTTCAGGATTTTGGCGTCTATGTTCATCAGGGATATTGGCCTGTAGTTTTCTTTCTTTGTTGTGTCTTTTTCTGGTTTTGGAATTAGAATTATGCTGGCCTCATAGAACGTGTTTGGAAGTCTTCCTTCTTCTTGAATTTTTTGAAATAGTTTGAGGAGAATGGGTGTTAGTTCTTCTTTGAATGTTCGGTAAAATTCCCCCATGAAACCATCTGGGCCTGGGCTTTTGTTTGCTGGGAGAGTCTTGATTACCTCTTCAATTTCCTTAGTTGTTATTGGTCTGTTCAAGTTTTCTATCTCTTCCTGATCTAGTTTTGGGAGACTGTGTGTTTCTAGAAATTTGTCCATTTTGCTTAGATTGTCGAATTTGTTGCCATATAGTTGTTCATAGTAGTTGTTAACGATCTTTTGTATTTCTGTGGTGTTGGTTGTTACTTCTCCTCTTTCATTTCTGATTTTGTGTATTTGGGTTCTCTCTCTTTGTTTCTTGGTGAGTCTAGCTAAGGGTCCATCAATCTTGTTTATCTTTTCGAAAAACCAGCTCTTTGTTTCATTGATCTTTTGAATTGTTTTTTTTGGTCTCTATGTCATTTATTTCTGCTCTGATCTTTACTATTTCCTTCCTTCTACTTGCTCTGGGGTTTTCTTTTTGTTTGCTTTCTAATTCTTTAAGTTGTGAGGTTAGACAGTCAATTAGAAATTTTTCCTGTTTTTTGAGGTAGGCCTGTAGTGCTATGAACTTCCCTCTCAGAACTGCTTTCGCTGCATCCCATTGATTTTGTGTTGTTGTGTGTTCATTTTCCTTGGTTTCCAGGAAGTTTTTAATTTCTTCCTTGATCTCCTCGGTGACCCATTCATTGTTTAATAACATGCTATTTAGCCTCCATGTGTTGAAATGTCTTTGCATGTTCTTGTTGCAATTGATTTCTAATTTCATGCCATTGTGATCTGAGAAGATGCTTGATATGATTTCAATCTTCTTGAACTTGTAGAGATTTAGTTTGTGTCCTATCATGTGGTCTATCTTTGAGAATGTCCCATGTGCACTTGAGAAGAATGTGTATTCTGTAGTTTTGGGGTGTAATTCTCTGTAGATATCTATTAAATCCATTTGGTCTAGTGCTTCATTTAGAGTCTCTGTTTCCTTGCTAATTTTTTGCCTAGAGGATCTATCCAGTGCTGTCAACGGGGTGTTGAAGTCCCCTGCTATGATTGTATTGTTGTCGATTTCTCCTTGGAAGTCCTCCAGAAGGTTTTTAATATATTTTGGTGCTCCTATATTGGGTGTATATATGTTTATCAAGGTTATATCTTCCTGTTGGATAGATCCTTTCAATATTATGTAGTGGCCTTCTTTGTCTCTAGTTATGGTCTTCATTTTGAAATCTATTTTATCAGATATGAGAATTGCTACCCCAGCTTTTTTTTGCTTTCCATTTGCTTGGAAAATTTTTTCCCATCCCTTCACTTTCAACCTATGTGAGTCTTTTGTTGAGAGGTGGGTCTCTTGTAAACAACATATAGATGAGTCATGCTTTCTTATCCAATCAGCTACTCTGTGTCTCTTTATGGGAGCATTCAATCCATTTACGTTTAAGGTGATTATTGATATGTACTTATTTATTGCCATTTTTGTTTAGTGTGGTTCTATTTTTCTTCCTATTTCTACTGCTAATTACAGCAGTCCTTTTAACATTTCTTGCAGTGCTGGTTTGGTGCTAATGTATTCCCTTAGCCTTTTTTTGTCTGGGAAGCTTTTTATTTGATCTTCTATTTTGAATGATAGCCTTGCTGGATAGAGTAGTCTTGGATTCAGATTCTTGTTTTTCATGACTTTGATTACTTCATGCCATTCTCTTCTGGCCTGTAGTGTTTCTTGTGAGAAGTCAGCTGAGAGCCTTATGGGGTTCCCTTTGTAGGTAACCTGTTGCTTATCTCTTGCTGCTTTTAGGATTCTCTCTTTGTCTTTAATTTGTGGCATTTTAATTACTATGTGTCTTGGTGTGGGCCTGTTTGGGTTCTTCTTACTTGGGACTCTCT